ATGCAACTCGGCATTCTCTCTCCTCCAAACATAATGAGTTGTGTTTCTACCAAACAGTTCTATTTTGGTTTCATCCGACCATATGACATTCTCTCAATCCTCTTCTGGATCATCCAAATGCTCTCTAGCAAACTTCAGACGGGCCCGGACATGTACTGGCTTAACCAGGGGGACACGTCTGGCACTGCAGGATCTGAGTCCCTGGCGGCGTAGTGTGTTACTGATGGTAGCCTTTGTTACGTTGGTCCCAGCTCTCTGCAGGTCATTCACTAGGTCCCCCCCCGTGTGGTCCTGGGATTTTTGCTCACCGTTCTTGTGATCATTTTGACCCCACGGGGTGAGATCTTGCGTGGAGCCCCAGATCGAGGGAGATTATCAGTGGTCTTGTATGTCTTCCATTTTCTAATTATTGCTCCCACAGTTGATTTGTTCACACCAAGCTGCTTGCCTATTGCAGATTCAGTCTTCCCAGCCTGGTGCAGGTCTACAATTTTGTTTCTGGTGTCCTTCGACAGCTCTTTGGTCTTTACCATAGTGGAGTTTGGTGTTTCACTTCATCTGGGGCTCCAAGATGGACAGAGTGAAACGGGCAGTCATGTTCAAGGAACCCCTCAAGGGCGGTAAGGGCGTGCCCGACATCGCCACCCAACTGAGAGTGTTCTTTGCCTGCAACTGCATCCGCAGAATTTTGCCCAAAAGGATTATGGACTCTGGCGGGAACGCAATGTCACGCTTCTTCCTATTGCCTCTCTGGAGGTCCCTCGGATGGGACAATTGGGACAGTTCCATCCCCTACAACTGGGACACCCCTTGGTACTACCTGGATACCTTCAAGTTTATCAAGGAGCAGGGGCTACAGGGAGTCAAGCCTGACTTGTGGAAGCCAAAGATCATCTACAAGCTCAGAGCAAGCGACATTTTGGAGTCGGTTCCAGGCCTGCCTTCAGACACCTGCAAGGTGGTCTGGAGGAATGTTTCTTCAAACATCCTCACCAACAGGCACAAGGACCTGGCATGGATGGCAATCCAAGGGGGTTTGCCTTCCAGGACATTTATGCATGCCAGGAACCTGAGCAGATACAGACACTGCCCCTTCTGCATCATCCACGAGGAAACGGCTCATCACGTTTTCTGGGAGTGCTCTTTTGCTCAGGACCTGTTGAGGGCTCTGGAACCTGAACTCAAGGACTTTGTGCCACAGACAGCCATCACACACTTTGGGGTGTTGAATGGACTTTTCTGTGGAACTTTTTCTCTGGAGGACATTGATAGCGCCTGGCGGGTGCTGTGTTGTTTTAGGGACGCTTTATGGTGCGCCAGGAAGCGCCTCATCCACCAGCGGGAGAGGGATGTTCATTGAGGACTGCCGCAGACTGATCCTCAGTCTGCTCAGAGACTATACCTTGATGGACTTTAACTAGTAGCCGACCGCAGATAGCCGAATGACGGCTACACTGCGGCCGGCCAGTTCTGAGTGGATGTCATATGACGTCCTCCCAGAACGCGCTCTCCTGCGCACCCCAGGGGGCGCGCACCCGGCGATCTCCGTGATCGCTGTGTCCTACGGACACAGCTGATCACGTGATGTGGTAAAAGGCCAATCACAGCGGCCTTTTACCACGTGATCAGCGGTGTCCAATGACACGCTGATCAGAGGGAAATGCAAGTGCCGGTTCTCGGCTGCACTTTCCTCACGCTGTCAGATTGTGAGGAAAGTACTGTCGAGAACCGGCAGTTGTCAGAGCGGGGATCGGCACCGATCATCAGGGCACTGATGATCAGTGCCCATCATCAGTGCCCTGATGATCGGTGCCCAGCAGTGCCACCCGCAAGTTCCGCCCACCTGTGCCCAGCAGTGCGCCCACTAGCTCCGCCCACCTGTGCCCAGCAGATCACCCACCTGTGCCAGCAGTGCACCCACCTGTGCCACTCTGCAGTGTCCCACACCTGTGCCCAGCAGTGCCACCCACCTGTGCCCAGCAGTGCCACCCACCTGTGCCCACCAGTGCCACCCACCTGTGCCCACCAGTGCTGCCCAGCAGTGCTGCCAGTCAGTGCCACCAGTCAGTGCCCAGGGGTTTGTGCCAGTCAGTGCCGTCTATCAGTACCCATCATCAGTGTCACCTATCAGTGCCGCCTATCAGTGCTGCATATTAGTGCCGCCTATCCGTGACACCTCATTAGTGCTGTCTATCAGTGCCCTTTAGTGCTGCCCATCAGTGCCGATTATCAGTGCCCATCAGTGCCGCCTATCAGTGCCCATCAGTGCCGCCTCATCAACGCACATCAGTGAAGGAGAAAAAATACCTGTTTGAAAAATTTTATAATAGAAACAAAGAAACTTTTTTTTTTTTTTTTTTTTTTTTTTGCACTTTTTTTTATTTATAGCGCAAAAAGTAAAGCGCCCAGTGGCGATTAAATACCACCAAAAGAAAGCTCTATTTGTGAGAAAAAAATGATCAAAATTTCATATGGGTACAATGTTGCATGACCGCGCAATTGTCAATCAAAGTGCGGCAGCGCTGAAAGCTGAAAATTGGCCTGGTAAATAAGGGGGTATAAGTGCCTGGTAGGCAAGTGTTTAAGGAGGAAGAGGATGTCTGAAGATCTCCCCTTCCCCCTACTCCCCCTTGCGTGTCTTTGTCCCTTCAATAAAGCTTCGGGCCTGTGTCCCCTTCTTTCCCCCCCCCCCCCCCCCCACACACCCGATGCTTATTGTAAAGTGTAACATCCGCATTTTGCATGACTCTGTAATGGTAGGAAATGTTCTTTGTTTTAGGATGCTATGGTCTCGGGGTAAGCGGCGTTATGCATGACGTGTTGGTCTGGGGATTTGTCCGCCACGCACATCACTTCAGACATCATACCGCTGAGTGAATGTATTTATTGAATGTATTTATCGTATGCTTGGAACTATATTGCAATGTGGTGTGCGCTGCGTCGCAGTATAGGGTGAGATGTACCCCGATAACGAGTATCATGTTTTTTTTATACTTATGTAATAAAGTATCTTTTTCAAAAAAAAAAAAAAAAAATAGTGGAGTTTGGAGTGTGACTGTTTGAGGTTGTGGACAGGTGTCTTTTATACTGATAACAAGTTCAAACAGGTGCCATTGATACAGGTAATGAGTGCAGGACAGAGGAGCCTCTTAAAGAAGAAGGTACAGGTCTGTGAGAGACAGAAATCTTGCTTGTTTGTAGGTGACCAAATACTTATTTTCCACCATAATTTGCAAATAAATTCTTTCCAAATCAGCCAATGTGATTGTCTGGATTTTCATTTTGTCTCTCATAGGAAAGGTCTACCTATGATGTCAATTACAGGCCTCTCTCATCTTTTAAGTGGGAGAACTTGCACAATTGGTGGTTGACTAAATACTTTTTTGCCCCACTGTATGTATGTATATATATATATATATATATATATATATATATATATATATATAAACACATACATACATTATCTGATCTGAATAATCGTAATGAATATTTTTATAAAAGTTAACATGAATCTAAACGTATACCTCGGTCACACAGGCTTTTACATACAAGCATTTAAGGAAATTCTAAAAACAAATAAATGCATGTAAGAATTTTAAATGGTGTAATTCACTATAAAGTTGATTTACAAAAGCCAAAAAGGCTGTTCCTTTGCAAGGAAATTTCCATTTAGCATAGTGAATTAGGTGAAGCTCTGCTGAAGTTCATCATCTAATCACGCGTAAGCAATAATTCTGTTAATACTACTGTATTTGTTTTTTTTTTTTGCTGAACATGATTGGGTATTCTTTGCAAAGTAAATTTTCACTACATTCACTATGATAACGGAAATTCCCTTTAAACAGCTTGTCTTTAGTAACTCATTTAGTAAAAGCATTTATTTGTGTTCAGAAGTGTATTGTAAAAGTACATTACTTGTGGTTACTTGCATTCAGAGAAAATAGAAATATGTGCATCCCTGGGCAGATTGATATGTGAATTTAAACTTTGTGAGGGCCGGTTCACACTGTGTTTGTGATCTGCATTTGGGGTGCTGTTAACAATACATTGGCACCCACATGCAGATCACAAGGGCAGTGCATTTGAACCTGGTATGGGAAATGCGCACAGAACACACCTTTCCCACACCACATTATGGTGTGACCCGACCCTCATACTTTCCATATCAAATATACTGAGTTTAAATAGGACAAATGTAGGAGGATTGTGTGAATGTATTCCAACTGAATATTTTACTTTGCTAAAGCACTGGTTATCATAATTAAATGCCATTTTTTGTTTCATAAATATGGATTACACCTTTTCCAGCTTTTTTTCAACCACTTTCTGCCAGCATGCACTCACTCAAGTTTTGGATACACATCATTTCCTGATAGCGACAAAAGTGAACCATGCCTGGACAATGAGTGTGTTGATACAGGCACTTGAAGTCTTCACTAGAAAAGACCTTCGTAGTACAGGATCACCTTTGCAAAAAGCTACATACCGTATTTTTCGCTCCATAAGATGCACTGTGCGTCTTATGGAGTGGCCGGCCCAGTATTCCCGCTGCCGTCGTGTTAAAATACCGGGCCGGCTGCTCTGCTCTATTGTGCAGAAGAACCTGCTCCTCGGTCCTACCTGTTCCTTGGTCCAGCGGTGTCCTACTTTCACTGGCCGTCTTCTCTCCCGGCGAGCCGTCATCTTCAGTGTGGGCACCCGGCTGTGACAGCATGCGGCTTCACAGCTGGGTGCCCATGGCCTATGCGCGAGAAGTGCTGCGCTTTATGAATGGCTACCTGTAGTCTTTGGGTACCCGCCCCCCCTGCTCTCCAAAAGTCTACAGTCTCTGGTCATCTCCTGTAGTGTGTCCACAGTCTCTGGTCATCTCCTGTAGTGTGTCCGCAGTCTCTGGTCATCTCCTGTAGTGTGTCCGCAGTCTCTGGTCATCTCCTGTAGTGTGTCCGCAGTCTCTGGTCATCTCCTGTAGTGTGTCCGCAGTCTCTGGTCATCTCCTGTAGTGTGTCCGCAGTCTCTGGTCATCTCCTGTAGTGTGTCCGCAGTCTCTGGTCATCTCCTATACTGTGTCCGCAGTCTCTGGTAATCTCCTGTACTGTGTCCGCAGTCTCTGGTCATCTCCTGTACTGTGTCCGCAGTCTCTGGTCATCTCCTGTAGTGTGTCCGCAGTCTCTGGTCATCTCCTGTACTGTGTCCGCAGTCTCTGGTCATCTCCTGTACTGTGTCCGCAGTCTCTGGTCATCTCCTGTACTGTGTCCGCAGTCTCTGGTCATCTCCTGTACTGTGTCCGCAGTCTCTGGTCATCTCCTGTACTGTGTCCGCAGTCTCTGGTCATCTCCTGTACTGTGTCCGCAGTCTCTGGTCATCTCCTGTACTGTGTCCGCAGTCTCTGGTCATCTCCTGTACTGTGTCCGCAGTCTCTGGTCATCTCCTGTACTGTGTCCGCAGTCTCTGGTCATCTCCTGTGCTATGTCCGCAGTCTCTGGTCATCTCCTGTACTATGTCCACAGTCTCTGGTCAGTCCTGTACTATGTCTGCAGTCTCTGGTCAGCTTCTGTACTATGTCTTCAGTCCATTGGTTCAGAATATTATTTTTTTTCTTGTTTACCTCCTCTAAAATCTAGGTGCGACTTATGGAGTGAAAAATATGTATTTAAAATATTGAAAACAATTTTTGAAATTACATTAACGTGAGATTTTATTGAACAAGTTAAAGTAGAACTATATAGGAAAAACTTTTTTTTTTTCCATTTTGGATAGAATAAGGGAAGGTTATAACCCCTGTAAGCTTTAATTTTGCTATCTTTGTCCTATTGGTGAGATTTCCCTTCACTTCCTGTCCCAAAGCCAAAATAGGAAGTGAAAGAAAATCCATGAAAAAGTGAGGCAATCTCTGTGGTTACCAGAACTATTGACCCCACTGGAAAGTAACCCACACAATTCCTGTTCTGAGGACAACCCAAAATTTGGAATTTTCTTTTACTTTTCCCCTACTTTCCCCCTAATGGCACAGACTAAAAACAGAACAGGTATTCTCCACTCTATACCAAAAGGCAAAGATTTTTTTTTTTACTTTTAGATACTTTAAGATTTAAATACCTACTGTATAATACATTTTTCATAGGTTTATTTCATTGATAAAATATACACTGCTGATATTTTTAACCCTGCATTTCATGAAAGGCAGTCTGCAGTATTAAAGGATAAGTTCACCTTTTACCAAAAAATAATTGCACATTTTTTGCAGGTAAAAAATTATAATTTTTTTTTTTTTTGGAGCAGATCGTTGGTGCCATGCAGGTCTCCTCCTGACCTGTCAGTATATCTGCTTGCTTGTACATCCAGTGTGGGCAAGTGGATATTTAATGACAGGAAGACTCCGTGAACTACCACAGTGCTGTGGAGTGTTGTGGTAGTTCATTGAAAACTACAAGCCGACAGCTGCAAAGGCTGTCAGGACTTGTAGTTTTCCCATTCACAGAATACTGTGAATGAGTGAAGCAGCCAGGCGGGCGGAGCCCCACATGGCCGTGTTTTTTAAAAAATTGTCACAACTAGCGGGGAGGAGAAGATCCCCCGCTAGCTGTCACATCGGGGTTCAGGGGGGTGCGGAGGCCAGTTTGATTGTAACATGGTACATGTTACACCCTGAATATGGGTGTAACATGTTACAAAAGGAGGACTTATACTTTAATTATTCACAATTTTCTGTGTAACAGTCAACTGCATTTCTTGGTTTCGTGCATCTTTAAGTATAAATAAAGGCAAAACCTTTTTTTTTTTATGGTTTCAGATAGAATGGATAGGATTGGAACACCTGTTATTGCTGTTTGTGCCCCCGTTAGGGAGAATCCCCCTCTCTGTCAACCCTGTTTACCATTATCAAATAAAGTTAAAGTGAAAAAAAAAAATCCCAACAGTACAGAAGGGATATGGGCAGCACAGTGGCTAAATGGTTAGCACTTCTGCCTGGCAGTACTAGGGTCGCTGGTTCAAATCCCAACCACGGCACCACCTGTCTAGAGTTTGCATGTTCTCCCTGTGCCTGCATGGGTTTCCTCCGGGTACTCCGGTTTCCTCCCACACTCCAAAGACATGCTGGTTGGTTAATTGGATCCTGTCTAAATTGTCCCTAGTATGTGTATGTATGAATGTAAGTTAGGGACCTTAGATTGTAGGCCCCTTGAGGGTTAGGGACTGATGTGAATGTACAATATATATGTAAAGCGTAAATTGACGACGCTATATAAGTACCTGAAATAACTAAGTAAATCTTCCAGTCTTCCACTTTAGAGGGATTTTCTCTCAATTCCTACTTAGGCTAGGCGACAGGAAGTGAAGGGAAATCTCCCAAATACGACACAGATGGCAAGGTATTAACCTCCCCTTACTCAATCTAAAATGAAAAAAAAAATGCCTATAACTCTACTTTAAATGCAAATATTTAAATCACAAAGGGGCATAGTTACGAAGCAGTGAATGTGAAACATTTACTGATAATGAATCAATCACTGGTATTCAAAACACATGCACCTGGAAGATTCACCTGAAGTTATCATTTGGTGGAGATCAGATTCCCTACCTTCTAAATATGTCCCAAAATTTCTTTGTCATCCATGACTCTGGAATGGATATAGTACACAAACAACAGAACAGCGACATCATGTGGTCAAAATGGTTGGTTGCTGCTCCACAAAGTGTATTTCTATTTGCTACAGCAAAGTCGGCAACGTTAAATAAGCAGTGGAAAATTTAGGAATGGCTTAGGTTTTTTGAATGCAAAGGCAAGATACATGAACAAATGCATTGCAATAAAATGATTTATAAGCACAGGAGAATAGCAGCCCTGTAACAGAAAGAACATATGAGCTCTAACCTTTGCTTCAAAAAGGTAGCTTTAATATGAATATACACATTCTGATATAAAAATGTATGCATATATCCGTTACCTTTCCATGTCCAGGAGTAATCCCAACCTTAACCCCTTGACACTGATTGTACGCAAATATGTGGTCTCTCGGCATCTGGGTCTTGAAGCCGAGCGGCCGCATATTCATGTGCAAATAGAAAATACATATGTGCTGAGAGTGCGCGCCCTGCGTGCTCCCAGCACATATGTCCGCAACTCCCGGAGCGGTCCCGATCTCCCCTTTTGATCGGGACCTTTTCCAGTCATGTGACCACCGTGATGGTGAATCACAGCGGTCAAATGACCCTAAAACCACGCCCCAACTCCCGGCTTCTGAAACTCTTAAAGGGCCGGGAGGCGCCGGCGCCAAGAGGTTAAAGTGATTCTAAAAGGCTAATATATATTTTTTAAATTAAAATAAAAAGCGGTTTATACTTACCTGCTCTGTGCCACAATATTGCACAGAGCGGCCCCCTTGCTTCTACTTTGGCGGGTTTCCTGCACTGCGTTCTGGTGTGAACGGGCTCTAATGCTAACAGCCTTTAGATCCACTTAAAAGCAATTCTTCAGGCACTTGTTAAAAAGTATACAAATACTGTAGCTGCTGACAATTAATAAAAAGACACTTATGTCATGGGATCCAGTGCCGTCCTCACCCTGCCTGGTTCTTTGGGTCCTTGTCATGTCTAGTGTGAGAAGCTGGATGTGACTCCTTTTCGACATTCACAGCTGGCTTCCCTCTGTACATGCGCAAGCTGTGTTGTGTGAATGGTCCCTCAGCCTCCTGGGACCTATGACGTGTCCCAGAAGGTTGTGGCAAGGAGATGGTGTGGAGAGTTTCCAGTGGAGTCGCCTAGGCAATTCCAGCGAATATGGGAGCGGGTACCTCAGAAAACTAGGTACCTTCTCCCCCACCAAAAAAAAAAAGTTCCAAATAGAGAAGGTGGGGGGGGGGGGGGGGGGGGAAGAGCACATAAAGCAGAATTTCCCCTTTAGGGTGAAGTTCCACTTTAAAGGAGAAGTACAGCCAAAGTTCGTTTGACTGTACTTCCCCTGTGGATCACAGGAGTGCAGTTCATTCTTCACTCCTGTGACCCATTTTTGTCCGACAGTGGGCTAAAGCCCACTGATGTAACAGAGCCACTCCAGGCTGCGGAAAGATCATGACCATATGGTCCAAATCCACCCAGGAGCCTTGTCCGGCACCTGGCTCAGCCTCTCAGCTAGCTATTGAGAGCCTGAGCCAGCCACTCGCGCCCGCTCCACAGACCAGCACCCCAGTGAGTGCTGGAGGGGCAGAGCAGACAGCGGTGACTGACAGTGACCAGCTCTCTGCTCAGAGCGGAGGGGAGAACTGAGTGATCAGCAGTGTTTGAGCCAGCAGGGGACAGATGCAGCATCGGATCGATGCTGCATCTACCTAGGTAAAAAAAAAAACCCATACTTTTCTTTTAATACTTGGAATGCATCAGTGCTGGGCGGTGAGCAGGATTGATAGGAGTACAACATTTAGGTCTGTATAGCACTTCTGTTTGTGAGTGGTTATCCTTACACAATTTTACACTATACAAGCTTGTTCTTTTATATTTTAAACACATGCAAGGAAGATTTCTATGTGGAAGCCTGGATGATAAAGACCTGTGAGGAGAATGCTGTGGAGATAATTACAGCCTTTGACCATTTACACTGTATCTGTGATCAGTATGATTGGAGAGTGTGTATTCCTTAGGGCAGGGGTGTCAAACTGCATTTTGTCGCGGGCCCATGGTTGCCCTCAAAGGGCCGGTTGTATCTGTAAGACTAGATATGCAGAGCACCTGACCCCCCCCCATTACATCAGATGTCAAGAATCCCATACCCTCCCTACCATCACCATGCTCCCCCTTTGGGGGCAGAGCTGGAAAAAATGTTACGCCATTTTTTGCTATAAGGCGCTGTGCTAGTTTAACTGAAAATTGCACGGTCAAGTAATACTGTACATAAATTAAATTTATGTTATTTTTTCACACAAATAGAGCTTTCTTTTGGTGGCATTTGATCACCTCTGGGTTTTTTTATTTTTTTTGCTCTAAACAAAAAGACCACAAAAATGTTGAAAAAAGATGATATTTTCTCATTTCTGTCATAAAAAATATCCAATAAACTCAAATTATGTCATAAATTTAGGCCAAAATGTATTTTGCTACATGTCTTTGGCAAAAAAAAAATCCCAATTACTGCATATTAATTGGTCTGTGTAAAAGTTATAGCGTCTACAAACTATGGAATACTATAGATACTGGATTGTACACAGCTTTTACTTTCTGACAGCCTATCACATTTCTTGAGACGCTAAAATACCAAATATATTCTCCTATTGACTCAACATGCCTCTCAGCAAATAGTATGGGGTGTCTACTTTCCAAAAAAGGGTCATTCGGAGGGGGGGGGGGGCAGCATTTTATGCCCAGCATACAAACCCCT